TTTTTCTTGATGCTTTGAACAGAAATTGGCTACCACTTTAGTGAGAGAGGGATTTAAAAGTGATTATGACAAAATTCTGTGCAATCAGCCAAAACTGTATTATGTTCAATTGTCTTTAAAAACCCTGGTGTCCTGCTTTAGAGTGACTCAGTGAAATGTCTCAAGAGATTCTCATTTTAAGTCACCTATCTTTCCACCACACCCAGTCTTTGCTTCTTCCTACTCAGTGAATTTCCCAATTCTCAAGTATTTGTCACACTGATTTATAGCACCCCAATTCATTTTCACTCATGTAAATAGTCCTGCTGAAATTACTCATGTTGGCTACTGGGAAATTAGTCTGTGTGTGTGTGTGTGTGTGTGTGTGTGTGTGTGTGTATACTACTCCTGGGGTTTGAACCTGGTACTGTCCCTGAGCTTTTCTGTGTGTGTGTGTGTGTGTGTGTGTGTGTGTGTGTGTGTGTGTGTGTGTATGTGTGTGTGTGTACTACTCTGGGGTTTGAACCTGGTACTGTCCCTGAGCTTTTCAGTCAAGGCTAGCACTCTGCCATTGGAGCCACAGCTCCACACCTGGCTTTTTTGGTGGTTAATTGGAGATAAGAGTCTCCAACCTTCTTGCCTAGTATGATACTCAGATCTCAGCCTTTTGAGTAGCTAGGATTACAGGCATGAGCTACAGCCCAGCTATAAAGTCATTTTGTTCTAGTTCTCCAAACTTCTGTTTTATGGAGGAAGAATAAGCCAGACTATCAGGAGCTAAACAAGTAGAGCTATAATATTTTTATTATCATGCTTTGGGTAATTGTTATTGTTCTTAAACATAAGAGCCTTCAAATGCCAGACAGAGTATCATTCATCAGTGAGTTCCTCTGGTAGAGTCCCTCCATGTTTGCATAGCTATTTGTGTGTCGTTTTAATAATTATGACCACAACTGTTATACCTGCAATTTCCTGAGCATGTGCCACAAATGTCCAACATGTCTCTTACCTTATGTGTACCCCTCACTTACCTTGCTACTCCTCTTTAAATTAAAAAAAATGAGAATGAGCTAATTCAGAGAATCATATGACCCCCACCAGGTAGATATTTTGAAGTTGAGAGTTGACTTATGCCAAAGCCAAATTCTAGCTGTTTACCACACTGCTTTCTACTTTCATATAGTATTTGAACTATTTGATTAAATGTCTTTTTAACTAGCCAAGAAGTCTTAGATTGTTATATTGCATATACATGCATTTGCAGCCATTATTAATACTAGCAGGTATAAGCACTGACAGCTGTTCATAAAAATTGAATAAATGAATGAATTCAATGAATGAGCTATTATTCTTATAAAATTCTATAGAAAGAGTTCTCTATTATACATATAATTTTTT